CCCGGGGGCCCGGCGCGCGGCCCTGCTGACGTCAGCGGGCGGCTCGCGGTGCCGGGTGCGCAGAGCCGCTGGCGCACTCGCGCGCTGCGCTCGCAACCACCCCTTGTCCCCGCCTGGGTTCTGGCGCGCGCGCCCGCTCTCCCTTCATTTTTTTCCCTTCTCTCCCTGCCTCTCTCTCTCTCTTTCCTCCTCGAGCTCCCAGCTAGCCGCGACTCCCTCGCACTCTCCGTCTCTCTCCGGTTGGCTCCACCGAGCAATGCGAGCTCTGGGAGGCAGCGCCGCCGCCCGCTAGAGACCTGCCCCCCGGCCCGGCCCCGTGTCCAGCCCTGCCCAGCGCGCGGGGGTCGGCGACGGCGCTGCGGACGCACCGACGGCGGAGGACCGGCGATGCACATGCACTAGCAGCAACCCCTAACTCACTCCCTCCACACCCCGCGCCGCCGCCGCCGCCGCCGTCGCCTCCTCCTCCTCCTCCTCCTCCTCCGGCAGCAGCGGCAGAAGGACCCACCCTGCCCCCACCCCACCCTCCGCCGGCTCCGGCTGCGGCTCCATCCTCGACTATTATTCTATTTATTTTGGGTCGTGCACAAGCCTCAGTGCCTGCAGCCCGCGCCTCCCTGGGCCGCGGCCGCCTCCTCCTTCGGCTCCGGAACCCCAGACCCCAACCACCCGCGTCTCGATACCCCCAGACCCCTGCCAGCTGCCGCTAGTCTCCGTTGCTGGAATTTGTTAGCGGCGGTCTTTTGTGGGGAGTTCTGGTCTCCCGACATTTTTGTTTTCAGCCAAGGGGAGGATTTTTCCCCCTTTGAGCCAGGCTCTGCTCTCCGGGGGGGTGGGGGGCGCGCCGAGCCGGGGAGCCGTGCCAGCCGAGTCGTGCGGGCTGTGGCAGGGAAGGGGCCACCATGGGATGTACTCTGAGTGCAGAAGAGAGAGCCGCCCTCGAGCGGAGCAAGGCGATTGAGAAAAACCTCAAAGAGGATGGCATCAGCGCCGCCAAAGACGTGAAATTACTCCTGCTGGGTAAGGACCACAACTGTCATCCCCATCCCCCGACCCCGGCCACTCCGCACTTCCCTTAGCCACCTCCCCCACCCTACCCGCGCCCGGGGAGACCTGGTCCCCGAATTGGCACCACTGTGTGCCCGGGGTCGCCCACCCGCAGCGTACCTTACCCCTACTCCCCCTGTACCCCTAAGCTGACACTCACCAGTTTTTCCCCCATGTCTGTGTCCCAACAGGGGCTGGAGAATCAGGAAAAAGCACCATTGTGAAGCAAATGAAGTAAGTCCCTGTGGCATTGGGATTTGTACTTTTATTAAGAATAATTTTAAAAATCATTTTCATTACCTCGCTCATTCCACATTGCTTTCCAGGCCTGGTTTTTAATTCGTGCACACACACACACACACACACCTCGATTTAGCTCGCCTCCCCAACAACCTACGTTGGTCTGGGTCCTCCACCCCAACTCCGGGGTGGGTGGGTTTTTTGTTTGTGGTTTTTTTTGGGTGGGGGGGAAGCGCCTGTAGTTGTATGAATGACAGTGTCCGCCATATTGATCAGAACATCACACTATTGGCATGATTATGATCATTACTTCTGCTCGTGGGGTGTTTCCTGTGCCTCTCTGCCTCCATTTCAGCCTCTGTCTCTGTCTCATTCTGTCTCTGTCTTTCTCCTCCTCCCGTCTCCCTCTCATCCATAATTTCACTTTCCCCTGCTCTCCTCCTGAGGCACTGATTTTGAACTTGGCTAAAACATGGAGGGGACCCAGCCCTAGACTGAGGTGCAGGATCAAGTGTCTGCTGTTCCTGGATTTGGTGCTGAATTGGAGGCTGTGGTTTCTGCCTCTTCCCCTCCACCCTCAAGGTTTGGGGGGGGGGGAGAGTCAGGGGAGGGGGCGTCTGTTGGGGGAAGGGAGTGAGTTTCTAAGCAGATGTGACTGGCACAGCTGTATCCAAGGCAGAGGTGGAAACGGGACGCTGGTGTGAGTCTTAATGCCCGCCTCATTGCTGCCCCCGGCCCCTCTCCACCCCCACCCTCCTAGCGTTTGCTGTCCAGACACCGTCAGTTTTCCATCACTTTGTGGCCTTTATCATTGTGTTTATTTACACTCTGCATAGGCCGTGTTCCACGTAATCTACCCACAATGCGGATTTCAGGCCCCACTTGCCGCCGCCCCCTTTTGCTTAGATATCAGTTTCCCCTCCTAATTAACTGGAGGTGGATTTGAGTGATGGTTGAAAATTAAAACAAAATGGGATATTGCTTCTCTTCCACACTTTCTCAATAAGGAGCCTCGCCCCTCCTTCCCACTTTCAGGCTGGCTTCTTGCCCACTCCACTTGGCAGTTCCTGGTGAGCCCTTGGGCAGCTTTGCTTGGGGAGGGGGTGGCCCGGGGGAAGGGGTGCGCGCCCTCGGGGCCTCCTGGCCCGGCTGCTTCCGTTGGCCTGTCAGTTCAGGACGAAGGAGTTCGTTAAGACCGTTTAGCGAGGATTCCACGTCTCTTTGCTGTGACACCTTCGTGCACACACGGCTCCTAATTAAGGGTTGCTGTGCAGTAAACAAAAATGATTATATTTCAACTTGACAGAATAGCCGAAGTAATTGCATCCCGCAGGAAAACAATGGAAAATAAAAACCCCTTTCGTGGGAAGGTGGGTGGGAGACGAAGCATGCTTGCGGTTTAAGAAGAACCAAGATGCAAAAAAATCTTGCATGTGTAACAGGCATGACAAGCGGGTTCTAGGCGGCGCCATGATGGTAGGGAGTAGCGACTCGGAGACAGTCTCCCCCATCTGCTTGACATGCTCTTATTTATGTTCGAGAGCTCCCTGGGGCTTTCTTCGCAGAGGCCCCCTCGGCTCGCCGCACCCCTCTGAGCCACGGGTAATTTGCCCTCGGGCTTCTCTGGAGCTTGTGCAACCCAAATGGATAGGGAGGCGGAGCCTGGGGAATTGCTGTTTGCAACAAGGTGCATGTTGCATCTGCCTGGAGCCCTTGCAGGTCGGTAAATGCAAGCAGCCCTACCCCCATCTCCCGAGGGGAACGTTTCAAAACTTCAGAGGTCTGTAAATCTGCAGTGGCAGGCTCAGAGCCCGGTGGAAGCCCAGCCACCGGGGGCTGGGTGAGGTTTCAGGCGTTGCGAGTGGTGGACAGCGCCCAGCCGAGGCCGGAAAAGTCGATGGAGCTCAGCTCGGCTCGGCTCGCCGCGGGCTGGGCGCGGGACTCGGAGGGACTCGTCAGTGTTCGGAGCCGAGTCGGGGCCCTGACGGAGAGAACCGAGCCTCTTCGGAGGGGGCCGAAGGCATTCGGCAACGCTCCGTGGCAGGGAGAGGAAGGAAGCGGGGCGGGGGGGTGGTGGTATGCTAGAGTCTGCAAATTAACTTTGCATCCGCGAAAGCAACACGTTACCTGCTTTCCCTGAACATGCTCCATAAATCAGGTTGATTTAATAAGAAGTTTAAAAATATATACTAAGCCCCACAAAGGATAATGCTATCTACCTCGGCTTTTCATTCAAAAAGAGCTGAGCTCTCCCATGAGATACGTGTGCCATTTTAGAATGAAAATCCCTAATTATGTACTGGGACAAGAAATCTTAAGGCTGTATGTAGACTTTCCCGGGAAAGTCCTATGTGTCTCGTATTGCTACATATTTGGGTACACTAAGGAGGGAAAAAACGAAGCATTTGAAGTTTAAAATGATTAAGTCAGAAATCAAGGCATTTCTTCGCCCTGCATTTCCCCCCTTCCTCACTCCCACAGAAACGTGCGATGACACCTTTTTGGAGAAAAACTGAGATTTTGGAAGTAAAACAATGAATACTTAAAAAAAACAAAACTCATTACATTGGCCGTCTTTGGGAAATAGGATATAGGTTTGATCAAAAAGTCAGTCAGAAAGGTTTCTGGACCAGGTACATTTTGTTCCAAGAGACCGGAGTGAGGATACTGGACCCTGTCCTCCCAAACCGTTCATGAATGGCAGCTTTTCCTGTGAGCCCTCCAGCTTGGCTAGAGGTAAGTCATATCAAGGCCTTGTGCCAAGCTGGATGCAGGACTTGTTTTATTAACCACAAAATGTGGGATTGATGTCACTGTATCCTAGTGACAAATTCTTTTGAATCCTCGCTTGCAGAAATGGTTTTTGCGATCCCGGCTTGACTGAGAGTCACTGAGTCAGGAGAACCGTGTGGAGGGTGGGGCCAATCTAGGCGGAACTTACAGAAAGCAATTCCCGACTTCCCAGTGCTCTACAAGTAGTGACCAGCCTATCAGGCCATAAATATGAGGTAATTAGGATGTTGTTTTATTTCACCTAGGCAGATGAAATTAGACAATTAGAGTCCTCCTTGGGTTATGCCCTGTGGGAACCAAATGATTTCCTACTAGGGGCTGTGGTTTTGATGGCCCAGGATGTTGGATTGAGAGGAAGAATATTGGTATTCAAACATCTCTGGGCCTGTTTTATTCAGCATTTCCAGAAGAGCAAGGAGCCATTCCATCCATGTTGTTCTCATCCATGTTGTGTGCCAGTTAGAAGAAGAAATGGGCTTCCATATATGCCCATAGTAACTGCAGTTATATGATAAAGGAATGGCTGTCAGATGCACATCAGCCTAAGAACATTGCAGAGAGACTGACCTTTAAAATTCTTCTTATGGTTGCATGTTGTAAGGGGAAACTTGCATCCATTTAAGAGATGCTACATATTAGATTGTCATTTTAAAAGTCTGATTCTCAATACTTTATTAAAAATTTCATTTGAACATAGCTTTCTTGGTTTGTTTTCCTTTGTGTATGTAATTGGGAGAGCTGTGTGTCAGACGATCCAAAACGTTTTAGTACGAATAATGATAATTGAGACAGCACAAATATAATTGTAAACGTACCATGAACAGTCAGTGACTCTTTTTTTTTTTTTGCATTTTAAATAATTTTAATTGATGGGGGGTCGTGACCTCACCTGGGATACAGCCTCATCATCTTTGCAGTCAATCAGTGTGGCTCTTTTAGTTTTGCAGACTACTCAAGACTATAAGGAAATGTCAATTTAATTACCAAAACCTTTACAAAGAAATCTCTTAAAGAATTGTATTTTATAAAGTATAGAATCAGCAGAATATCACATTAAGTGACTTCCCAGTTCTGAATAAATAGTGACACTGCTTGGACCATCTATCTGATGAAAATGTAAGCTGTGAAGCTGCTATGGGCACCACAGTTTGCCTTTATCTGAGGTGTTGAGTTTTCTGTGATGTCACATTCAGGCTGTGTCTGGAGCATTAAATGGATTTTTAGGAAGACAGTGAGTTTGAAGGTAGCGGAGAGGTATGGCATGCTAGCTGGTAGGTTTATATAAATGAACACAGTAAAATGGAACACTTTGTATGTGCATTCATTCCCAAGGTACCTACCTGCTCAGTGCCATGTTAAAGCAAATGTAATGATTTTCCTAATGAAGATATTATTGCTCATACAAATATCCCAACCCTTAGAATGGGATATAACTCCCAATGCAGACCCTACCCTGTCAGGAAAGGCAGTCTTAACAGGTCACTTGCTACCAAAAAGTTGGTGGTTTTCTCTTCCCAGCTGACCCTGACCTTGTAATTAGGGTATCTACAGTTTGGTTTGGGTTCAGGGAAAGCATGCCTTCATTCAGCACTGTTTAGTGCTTACTAAGTGGCAGGGACTAGAGGAAGCGAATGGCAACTGCTAGCTATTACTCTGGGAAAGTGCAGTCATCTAAAAGGGTGTTTCCCACACATGCCCAAAGGGTCCCAGGTCGAGGCAGCAGTCCACTGAGAGCTACTCTCCTGCATTTGTGGACTTATTATTTCTGCTGTCATCCTGCTGGCTGCTTTGCCTCCCTCCCTGCCACCTGTCTCCATGTTTATGCAAATGGATGCAACTTACTCCCTCTGGAGACCGCAGTGAGCTTGAACAGAATATCAGATCAAGTAGTAGATGAGTTCTCCTTTGCTGATGGATGGTGCCCTCTCCCTCCTTACTGCTCACTGAGCTGTAAATACCAGCAGACCTTCTGCCAGAACAGTGGCAAACATCCGCCTGATCTCCTCTGGAATCAGCTGTGGAATTATTGAACCTCAGTTACTTGTTGGATTCTGAAATGGAACCTGTCTACTTGTTGAAAGGATTGTTGAAGGTTTGATTAAATGGGTAAAGCTCCATGAGGGACTGACATGGCTCCAAAGGAATCCAGAAGATTGGCTGTTCTGTATGTGTCTGGTTTAGATTTACTATGCCCAGAGTCC